CCCCCCCCCCCCCCCCCCAAGTTTGCATAGTATTACTCAAAATTTGCATGAACAGTTTGTGTAAAAACTGTTGTCAAATGAATGTTCGGTCTTCAGATTTGAAAGATACAAGTTTCTCTATCTTTCGCATTCGTCATCTTCGAAATGTATATATTGAACAGCCCCGAATACGAAATTATAATGGTTTACAACTGAATGTATACTACACTGATGGAAGTTATTATGTGAGTCAACGTAGATTTGCAGATGAAAGCATATCAATACAACACCATAACTGGATTATGAAGCTCGTGTAAAAACTCTCTCCCTCTTTTTATCTCTAAAATAAGTTCAGGTATTGAATCGGCTGAGTTCATTTGGATTCCAGTTCAAAAGCGTTCTGCAATTCACTCGGGAATCTCATTCCTGGCAAAAAAGATGATTACTTCTGTTATGTCCTCTTCCGGGACCCGAAACCAAGCGTGTAACATTCCAGCTCGCAAATAACGGATACATCACGGATTAGGGATGACGAAGAAAAAAGCATCGTCGTCTGATAATCCACCTGCTGACGATCATTCGCACCCATCGAATCCATCAGAATTAAAGTACGAGTGCTGAAGAGGTGTTATTGCAAGAAATATGGGTTCAAATATTCGGCATACCAGTTGATGTCCCCGGAATGTTGCTTGCGGCTATGGTTTCCGAAGCATCGCTCCATTCATTAGGCGCTTCAATGTATATTTTCTTCTTGCAAGTTTTTTCTCGCAACAAAACCGTAAGGCGTTAAGCGATTCATTTCATCTCGAAAATTGTGTTTTTTTCGCGTACTGGGATTTGAGTTTTTTGACTCTGTCGTCAACCGAAATTATTTCCTTGACTGCTGGAAGCGTCCTTTCTTTAGAAATAAGATTTCTGGCTTGACTTGGAAACCCACTATTTGGCTTTTAAAATATGTAATATACCGTTTTGTGTTCGCTGCCGAATGTTGCCATTATGTATAAATACTTTAAGTATATTCATTAAATTTTCGCGTGCAGTAATGCTTCGATCATTTGGGCCTCTCACGTGTTTCTGTCGATGATCCTGGAAAATAAACTGATATGAATGTAAGATCTTACATATTTTTTCCGTGTGATTATTTCCAGTACTCGGTTGAAACCATGATTCATCATCGATGAACTGATGTCCTTTGAAAAAAGGTTTTTTTTTATCGCGGCTAAGCTTTTTTCATTTTTTGCAGAAAAAATTTGAAATTCGGCATGGCTGAGCTATATTCACACTTCCATCCGACCATTCTGCAATTGTTTTGAAGAAATAAACTTAGACATATTTGTGATGGCTCCATGATTAAATCCCCTGGGAGAAAAAATCCCGCGTCCCCAAAATCCTAGGAGGCCAAAAATCCCATAGACCAGAAAATCTCGCATGGTCTAAAAATCCCCTAGTCACAAAAATCCCAATGAGTGCTACAAAATTGTAATATTGTCTCTATGGGTTACCCTTCCAACTGTCTGGAAGGAATAAAAATCTAGTGGATTATGAAATTGTGTAAGTGCAATGGTTTTATAATTCCTTCCAAGGGTTTGGGAGGTTTAGGGATTATCTTCCTCAATAGAATCCCACCTTCACTTCCTCATCTTTCTCAAAAGAAAGGTGAGGAAGCCTGGGAAAGATGTAGCCTTCATTTGGAGCCTTCATCCCTGCATTTTGTGTATACTGTAATCTGTGTACTATTTTAATGATTTCACAGCTCAACTTTCCCTTCTGATGTAACTATTGTTAGGTTCCTAACTTTTGGTATAGGTCTTGGAATTGTGTTTCTTTTATTTACTTAATATGAAAATTCAGTGAATAGCTCTGCTTCTTTGCTCCACAAAAGATGTGAG